ATTTTTTTGTGATTTTTTCCCATTTTTTTGGTGATTTTTTCCTGGATTTTTTTCCATTTTCCCCATTTTTTTGGTGATTTTTTCCCATTTTTTTCATGATTTTTTCCCGGATTTTTTTCCATTTTCCCCATTTTTTTGTGATTTTTTTTTTCCATTTTTTTGGTAATTTTTTCCCGGATTTTTTTCCATTTTCCCCATTTTTTGGTGCTTTTTTTCCATTTTTTTCATGATTTTTTCCCGGATTTTTTTCATTTTTTTTTTTAAATTTTCCCCATTTTTTTTTTTAATTCCCCATTTTTTATTTTAAATTCCCCCATTTTTATTTTCCCTCACCTGTGTCAGGTAGAAGAGGTGTGTGTGGGGCAGGCACTGCAGGCAGTTCACTGCCCCCCTGAAACTGTAAATTTGCTGGTGAGGGTCCCCCACCAGGATTTTCCCACATTTTTGGGATTGGATGATGTCCACGATGGCTGAAGAAGGAAAAAAAAAATAAAATTTGGATTATTGTTAAAAAAAAAAGAAAAAAAAATTGGATTATTGTGAAAAAAATGAAAAAAAAAGGAGTATTTTTGAAAAAAATTTGAATTATTGTGAAAAAATGGAAAAAAAATTGGATTATTTTGTAAAAAAATTTGGATTATTGTAAAAAAAAAATGGAAAAAAAATTGGATTATTTTGTAAAAAAATTTGGATTATTGTAAAAAAAATGGGAAAAAAATTGGATTATGGGGCAAAAAATTGGATTCTTTTATAAAAAAATTTGGATTATTGTACAAAAAAATTAAGAAAAAAATTGGATTATTGGGAATAAAAAAAGTAAAAAATTGGATTATTGTAAAAAGAAATGAAAAAATTGGATTATGGGGGGAAAAAAAAGAAAAAAATGGATTATTTTATACAAAAATTTGGATTATTATTCAAAAAAATTAAGAAAAAAATTGGATTATTGGGAATAAAAAAAGTTTAAAAATTGGATTATTGTAAAAAGAAATATGAAATAAATAAAATATTAAAAATGAAAATTAAAATAACATAATAATATATTTGATATTTTTATTAATTTAATCCCTTACCAGGGGTGCAATCCTGAGCCTCATCCACCAGAATATTATAATTACATAAGATAATGAAGAGATATTTTAAATTTCTATTTATTTCTAATTTTTATGATTTATTTCTATATCTTATATTTTTTAATTATTTTTATTCT